GGGGTGGGGGCCAAGCCGAGTCACAAGAAGATCGCCCAGGAGCAGAAGCTCAGAAAAGACAAGCACCTTCCTCCAGAGCCAACAGAGAGAAAGCTTTCCCCTAGAGCCAGCATCCTGAATTTGGACTTCTAGCCTCTTAAACTGTGAGAAAATAAATTTCTGTTAAAGCCACCCACTTGCGATATTTTTGTTATAGCAGCACTAGATAACTAAGACAATGGTTATGTGAAATCATCCTATCTCCCACCTCTTCGGTCAGCAGGTTGCTATAGCGACTAGGTTCATGTACTGAAGTCAGTGGATGAGAGGAGAATTGATGAGAACTCTGAACAGTGGGGCTAGTAAAATGGTGGAGAGAGGCCTGACCTGAGGGAAGAGAAGGAAGTCCAGAAGAAATAACAGCAGCAGCGGAAACCAGCCATGGGGAAACACTGACGCTCCTGGAGCCTCTGAGAACAGAGGCCTTGAGGCCAGAAGAAGAGAGGAAGCAGAGAAGAAAGTACATGATGCTGGAAAGAAAGAAAGAAAAGGACAAAGCATTTTCTTACCATGGATGGGAAAATTATACACCTTTCTCCTCCCTTCCCCAAACCTGACTGGAATATTGTTTTGCTAACCTCCCTGAAAAGGTGTTAGATATGAAATGTTCTGTAGCCTACCAATTTATAAGAAAATCAATTAATCTTTCCTGGTGCAAATGTATTTGAATGTCAGCAATAAGTGGTTTCTCACGTAGAGTTGAAGGAGATCGGGTCTGAGTATATTACTCTCCCGCCATGTGAAGCTTTGGCGTTAAAGCCGTGGTTAAAACTTGTAGTGATATAAGCACAATCAGACCCAGGTCCAAGTTCTGGCTCCACCACTTCCAGTATGACCTTGGATAGATTCCATATTATTTCCAAGCCTCAGTTTTCTCATCTGTACATTGGGAGTAATAATATTTGAGATCCATAATCCCTTATTGGCAATTCTGAGATCCAAATGTCTCTGAGAAACAGATTTTTTTTTTCTTTAAGTTTGCAGAACATTTGTTTGATGGCAAAGCCAGACCTGATGTGAGATTTTATATTGGTTTAATTTATCACTTTAAGCATGATTACCCGTATGCTTTGCTGCAGAAATATTGACATGTTTATCAGTGCCACCCTCAACCTTGTTCAGGGGTGTTATGAGAAATACAGAATATGCACAGACTTGTCTTTCAAAAATATGAAAAATTCTGAGTTCTGAGGCACATCCGCTCCACGGGATCTGGAAAAGGGATCAAGGACTTGTACCTTTGGGATTGCT